CCACCACCGTCCCTCCCTCCCTCGCGCCGCCCATTCATCCGAGCCTAACGATGCCAGATCCGCGCGCCACCCATCGTTCCCCATCTTCCGCTCCCTCCCTCCACCTCCTGCACAAGATCTAGCGCCCTGAAGCCTCGGCGTCGCGGCCGGCTGGCTCGCCGGCGCGCGCATGCTTCGATGCGCGCTGCTCGGTCGAGCTGGCCGGACCACGACGGCATGCGACCTAGGGTTTTCGGTATCCTCGGACGGCCGCCGTCCACCTCGCTGTAGGGAGGGGTTCGTCGTACTCCACCCTAGCAGTTGATCCCAGCCACCGCTGCTTCACCAGCCTCCTCCTCTGGCATCTCCGTGAGGGCGCCCGACGCCAGGCAGGCCCTCGAGGCGCCATACCTCAAGGCCGGTCATGCTGCTCCTTTTGCCTGTGTCCTTCCCCGACAACGTCCCCATGGCTAGGGTTTCGGATGCGATGGCACCTCCATCGATGGTGCGGCTCTGGTGACTCTTACCTCGCCCCACACGCAGCTGCCCATTCATCTGAGCTCGACGACACGAGCTCAAGGTAATCCCTTCCACTCATGGTAGATCTGTTCTAGTGATTAGGTTTCTGACAATCTGTGGTGTTGTAGGTTGGTGGTGAGGAGCAAGGGGGCCGAGAAGCCGGCTGCCAAGGGAAGAAGGGCAAGGCCGGCAAGGACCCCAACAAGCCCAAGAGGGTGGCCAGCGCCGTCTTCGTCTTCATGTATGCCCAACGCACACGTCCGCCCTAGGATTCGCGCGCTCCTCACGCTCCTCGCCCGCCTCATAAGCCCTCTCCCTCCCTCTCTCTCCCCTGGTGCCTTCGGCTTGTGTACATATTTGTCTCCGGCTTGTATGGGTGCTCTCTCGTGTTTCGATGGTCAGTTAGCTGGATGAGCTTCGTATGCATGCTAGTAGTGACTGGATGAACTTCGTATGCTAGTAGTGACTGGTCAGTTAGCCATCAAATTTGTGACAAGGAAACTGAAACCCTCTTCCTTTCTTCCGAGAGGAGAGGAAGGTCCTTGCTTGCTAGAGTCGACCTATTTATCTGCATTGTGAAGTAACAACAGTTCTTTGGTCTGTGTTAAGATGTCAAGAAACTGATTGTTTGTTGAAACAACCATCAATCACTCTCAGATACTGCTGACTGCTTTCTGTTGCTAGTACAGTTCAAGCTTCTTTGCCATGTATCTCATTAGGATGTGAACAATCTACTACACGCTCACAAAGATATTGACTTAAATTTTTTGTTTCTTTGCTGTCAATGTTTGCCAAGCTATTGAAACAACGATAGCTCAGATCATAGAATAGTGTATCAGTACCCAGTATATAGTCTCTGCTTTTGTTTGATCATAGAATAATTAATTTTGAAGGTTGCATCTGTAAATCTAGATCTGTGTAGGTCCTAGGGGCATCTTTTGCCAAGGAATATACCGTTCTGATGTAGTCACAAACTATATGTTTTCTTCTCCTGTGATGTTAATTGTTAGTTACCCCTGCCCTTATGCTTACCACCTTCCTGTTAGGGAGCTGGTGTGATTTTGTGCCTGTAAAACTAAAACTGGTTTCTAACTTCTTCTTCTTCATCAGGGTGATCTGGTTGGGGAGCTGGTGTCGGCCGGATGGACCAACGAGACCCACAACATGTACATCAGCTCCATGGGGGTGTCCTTCATGCAGCAGCTCTATGGCCAGCAGCAGCAGCACCATCACGCCACTCCCGACAGGAGCATGATCCATGTGGGTAGTGGCCATGGGCTCAAGGTGCTCCAAGAGGGAGCCTCTGATAACCTCGGGTCTGAGAAGAACGTACCTTGCCCGTGTGATGTTGGTGCACGAGGCACCGATACAGTTCAAGCGATGGCTCCGAAGCATGGAAGAGGAGTGAGCACCTGTGTCGGAGGAAATCCTATTGACAGAACCTCAGGTTGTTACACTTTTCATCTTGTTTGCTGATTGTTTCCTTTAGTGTATGTTTTATTCAGTTTGACAGAAGTTTAGAATTGTTATGCGGTGTTGACTGGCTGTTAGTCTGATATTAATTCAGAAGCGTTGATTTTTCTTGGTATATGTTGTGTTCAGTTCTGGTAGAAGTTCAGAACTGTTATGTAGTGTTGGCTGTTAGTGTGATATGAATCTATAAGTGTTGATTTTCCTTGGTACATGTTGTGTTCAGTTTTGGCAGAAGATCAGAACTGTTATGCAGCGTTGTTTCTTAGTCTGATATGAGATGCACATATCTTTTTCGCATCTTATATAGGCATTATGATATAATTTGTAAGCATAGGTGGTTATAGGTTGCTATGATGAATATAAATATTAACAAGTGCTCATGCATGGCGGTATACTAGAGCCAGTTGTATGTGCTCAGTACCTTCCTGTTGTTCTAGTTGCTTACAGAATCTTTGATCTACTCCTTGCAACTTAAACTCTTGCTTGCTCTCATGTACAGTATTGAGAAGTAATTAAGTTTCCTTTAGTTTTCTGATGTGAAAGTTTCTTGAAAGTAGAGCTTCTCTTAACTAATCAAGAACTCGACTCTTTTCCCCTGATATCGTCGTCGCCCAGTCCAAGTCCGTTTGTACGTGTAATAACGGAGTATTTGTACTTGTTTACAATGTTTAGGCACTGGTACGAAAGCTGCCCTTGGCACGAACATAGTATACCACAATATATATACTACTAAATATAATTCAACAACTTGTTTTCGTCAATTGATGTGTTCCTGCTTCCTGTTGTTAAGCCCAAACCCACTGAATTACCTAGTACCTCTGTTCTTCTCTTCATATCGAAGCTCCTCAAACTTGTCAGCTCTATGCTTTCATTCTGATTTGTACATCATCCTGAAATATATAATCATGCTTTCATTCTGATTTGTACATCATCCTGGATGGTCTGCCCAAACGATGCTCATAGCGTTTCTGTTAGCCTGCGTTTCAACTCATTTTTTTATTTAAAGAAAAACCAAGTGGCACATTGGTTGTACTTCTCATAAATTGATAGAAAGGTTCTAGCATGTTTTCATTTGCAAGTAAAACTCGACCTTCTTTTAGTTGAGTGAATATGTTTCAGATATTGAACGTTTTACAGTACATTTCTTTCCTTCTAAATGTGAATTCATGTACATCATCAAGCATTTCACATTTGCTATAGCACTACGTAATGGTGTACTTCTTTTAGAAATTCTGCTCCTTACGTTTATAAATTCTACATATGGTTTCTCATCACTTGGTGTATATATAGCACGTTTTGGGCAACGAATTATTCAGCGTTCTATGTTAAAGCTTTCAACCTTGAAAGCACATATTTGTTTGGGCATGTGCTATATGTACCATTTTAGAAGTAGTCCACATATTTTTGTCCTGCTATAGTCTTTTTTAAACTTCTTATGAGATTGAAGCATTCGTTCTGATTTCTGGTTTGCTGATTGTTGTAGACAGATGTATGAAATCTCTTAACTGTGGACGACAACTACTTCCTTGAGAAGGACCATCATCACCCATCAAGTACGCCATTGAGGTAATTCACCAGTCCCTCCAGCACCAACTATCTATTTTCTCTAGTATGCTTAGGTTTTTGATGTTGTTGTGGTAGCCCCATTGCTGTTGCGTTGAATCTCATGCCAGCGCTGGTGCGCCTGTGGCTTGATGTGCTGTGATCTTTATCTGTGTAGGTTTTGTTTGATGATACACTTAGATTATGATCATAAGCATGGTGGTTTGATGATGCTGAGGCCAGCTGTTAAACCATGATATAGTTGCTGGAACTGAGCTTAATATTCATGCATGTATGTGTGTGTGTCGAGTAAAGTTGTGGTTTGTGCTGCTCCTTTGTAATGTGATGAAACAAAGAATGTCCTTTACTCCTTTTTTGAATGGAATGTTCATAATATATTGGCTCCATTTTTTCTAATTTTTATTAGCTGATTCATGTAACAGGGCGTCCGTGGTAGGCCCTCCAGTGAGTCCGGCATTTGACCGCTATTGAAGGAGCTACATGTAGAAGAAGAAAACACTTGTAGAGCTTGTACCTGATTCCCATAGTTGTAGAGCTTGTATTAACTAAGCTTGTATTACGTGTAACTTGTAGAACTTGTAAATGCTACAGCTTGTAGGATGTGTCATTTGTAGATCTTGTAAATAAGCTTGTATATGCTACAGCTTGTAGGACGTGTCATTTGTAGAGCTTGTATTGAATCTGCCTATTGTTATTTGAAGTATCATGTGCGTTTTTTGCTTGCCAATTTAACTACTGGAATATGAAGAATCTGGGCCTAATTGCTCGGACCCACTTATCAGAACCTGACAAGTGGGACCTGTTTGACTAGCGGACCCATTTTATAAAAAAACTAAAACCGTTGGTACAAAAAGGCCATGACCCATGAAATAAAAAGGCCGAACTGTTGGGCTTGGTCCATGAAGTTTGACAAAAAAATGATAGGAAAAAAATAGAAAGGCTGAATTAATGGGCTCGGCCCATAATAAACACCCAATTGGACCGGCCCAATTCTAATTTTTGACCTTTTCAATTGGTCGCAAATTTGCCACGTCAGATTGCCATGTCGGATCCGACGTGGCCTGGGCAGACAACCAGTGACCAAAACAAAAGGTCATGGGTTCAACGACCTTCTGTTTTGGTCGTAAACATCTACGACCTTCTCACAGAGAAGGTCGTTAATTTCAGTTTACGACCGCCAGCTTTTGACCTTCTGTTTTTGGTCACAAAAAGGTCGCAAATGAAAAACAATGACCTTTCAGTGACCAATAGTCAAGGTCACAAGTTGACATATTTCTTGTAATGGAGATGGATCTCGTGGCCCTCAGCCAATCCGCCGCCGGAAACCATGATGATGATGATCGGTAAAACTTGCAACTTCACCAACAAGTCGATAAGACACCTGCCCCACGGTGGGCGCCAACTGTCGTGGTACTAAGACTGAAAGTAGAAAGGGGGGGTAGGTATGGAGAGGCAAGATCTCAGCTATGATGAAGGTGTACACACGAGATTTACGAGTTCAGGACCTTCTCGGAGGAAGTAACAACCCTACGTCTCGGTGCCCGGAGGCGGTCGATTGGATTATGTGTTTTATATTACAGGGGGTGCGAACCCTTGTCCCAGAGGAGGGGGGGCTTATATAGAGTGCGCCAGGACCCCCGCCCTCCTCCATTACAAGGGGCTTAATGTACATAAAGTAAGGGGGGTTACTGGTAACGCCAGTCTTAAGTATTCTTAATGCTCATAAAGACTAAGGAGTGAACGTCCGGCCGTTGCATGCTCTTTCGACTCCTGGTCTTCGATACAGTCGAGTGACTCCCCAGATAGTCGAGTGACGGTAGGGGGTGACCGTCGAGTGATGTGATCGTCGAGTGGATTGCACTCGACGTACTCGACTGGTGTTCTCCTATTGACTCTTGGTCTTTTTATCTTTTGGGGTAGTGACCTTGGGTAGGACGTATAGGTCAGGCCTATGACCCTACCCCAGGTCTGTATCCTCATCACCCTCCCCCGCTCCACCGCCGCCGCCGACCCCCGCACCCTCCCCCGCTCCACCGCCGCCGCCGACCCCCCGCACCCTCCCCCGCTCCACCGTCGCCGCCGACCGCCCACACCCTCCCCTGTCTCCTCGCTCGGTTCCCCCGAACGAAATTG